CGATCTGCAGGTCTGAATGAGAAGTAGTGCAGGTCCTGATGCATTGGGTGGCGAGAAGTCTTCCTTCCTGTAAAAATTATTTGAATTATCATATCTTCAGGTTGCGTTATTAAAATAAAGTAGAAATACTGAGCTTCTACGAACTGTACACATCCACCCGTTATAGCAATATGGTGGCTGGAAATTTTCTCTGTTTCACAATCCTCCTCCTCTCAAGTGGGAAAACACCAGTATAACACACATGCTGAGAAATTCACTTTGATGAAATAATGTTTAAAGCACAATGGCAGTCCAACTTTGGTTCTTGTTACAACAATCCCACTTGTCATTTGGGACTTCTATAAATTTATACCCCACTTTTCTGCTACTTCGTTAACCACACCGGTAGTATTCATTTTGATATAGTAGCTAGCTCTGAAATTTGAACCAGAAAAGATAAACGGTCAGATCTCACAATACATTAATCTAACACTGCCTACCTGTTTCAATGTAGTAGTATAAATTTGTTCAAAAATTCCTTACCAGGATCTGGAGGTTTATTGGTCAACATGGTGTGCATAGCCATGATGTTCGGTCCTGTGAAACACTCAACATATTTCACGATCTAAGGTGAAGAAAATGATGCATCAAAAAGTACATTCAAACCAGCTAACATATCTGTAACGGAACCCCAGGTATGACGTCATTCTTGCATGTCAATCAGGGGATGGAGCAGGAGGGGCGGAGCCAGAATGACAGTTGGAACAGCTGGGTGAGAGAGTTAGGAGTTGGAATCAGATAGGGATAGAGAGAGTTAGGGACCAGAAGTTATTGAAACAGTGCTAGGGCATAAGAGTAACAAGAAGGGTTAAGAAAAGAAATTGAAAGAATAAAATATATTGGACAAGCAGGAATGAACTCATCAGTTTAACAAGAGAAATATTGACATGATCTGATATACTTTAACACCTGATTTAATACACATGAATATATGACACAGTTACATTTGATTCCACTTGTGATTTTGTTCAATAATATATTTATTTAAAATACTTGATTCCTGAAATTGCGTGACCCTTTGGGGTGACAGCTCCTGTGTGTGGGACTTGTGGTATTAGGAGAATACCTGGTGGCAGCAAGAGAAAAGGTGGGTTTACCTTTGTGAAGCCCAGAGGTATAAAGGGCACAAAGGGGGACCGCCACATGATCTGAAATAAACTCTGACTTGGCAATTGACACATCTCTCGTGATCAACAGCCCAGGCACAGTCACCTCCTTTTTGCAGATCTTTGTGAACGCATCTCTGAGGATAGGATTAGAAACCAAAATAAAACAAAAACAAAAAACAATTGGTAAATTGTATCACATTACTAAAACAATTCTTTTGTCCTTAAAAAACAAATTGGATATGATTTACAATCTATGCAGCCTCATAATTCTGTCTGAAAAGGTTTGGTTTCTACTTATCAATTACAGTGGTGCCTCGCTTAACGAGTGTCTCGTTTAGCGATGTTTTCGCTTAACGATGTTGTTTTTAGAAAATTCTATGCATCGTTTAACGATGTTTCCTATGGGCGATTTTCACATAGCAATGTTTGGGACCATGCTTCGCATAGCGAATGCATTTTAGGTCCCCTGTTTCACTTAACGATGTCCATTTTTTCAATTTTAAAAGTGTCTTAAAAGGTTCAAAAACTGTTTTAAATGCTTGGATTCGTTAGAGCACCTTCTAAAATGTGTGCAAACTTAATTTGGCTTTGTTCTGACTTTTCGTTAATTTTTGGTGAATTTTGTTCTCCCCCATAGGAAACAATGGAGCCCAACTTTTGACAGTTCCATTGTTTCCTAAGGGGGAGAAAAAAATTCACAAAGAATTAGTGAAGACTCAGAACAAAGCCAAACTAAGTTTGCACACGATTTAGAAGGTGCTCTAACGAATCCAAGCATTCAAAACAGTTTCTGACTCTTCGTTAATTTTTTGTGAATTTTTTCCTCCCCCATAGGAAACAATGGAGCTGTCAAAAGTTGGTGGGGAAAAAAATTCAGCAAAAATTAACGAAAAGTCAGATCAAAGCCAAATTAAGTTTGCACCCATTTTAGAAGGTGCACTAACGATTCCAAGCATTTAAAACAGTTTTTGAACCTTTTAAGACACACTTAAATTTGCAAAAATGGACATCGCAAAACCACTGAAATGCATTGAATGGGTTTCAATGCATTCCAATGAGGGAAACATTGTATCGCTTAATGATGTTTCCGATGGGGATTTTCGCTTAAGGACGGTAATCCGTTCCTATTTGAACAGATTAACCGGTTTTCAATGCAGCTCTATGGGAAAACGCGTTTCGCATAACGATGTTTCCTATAGCGATGGGGTTTTTGGAACCAATTAACATCGTTAAGCGAGGCATCACTGTATATCCAGATCATTCTAAATAACAGGCATTTTTGGAATACAGTGGGGTCTCGACTTAAGAACTTAATCCGTATTGGAAGGTGGTTTGTAGGTCAAAAAGTTCGTAGGTCGAATCTGCATTTCCCATAGGAATGCATTGAAAACCATTTAATCCGTATCTGCTCTTTTTCGTCCATAGAAACTAATAGGAAACTAATGGGAAGCTGCTATTCCGCCTTCTGCCACTAGAGGGGGATATTTTTTATTTTTTTCTTAGCTCAAGAAAAGTTCAGGAAAGGATGGGGAGGCAGGGAACAGTTTTAAAAGCACTTTTGAAATCTTTTTTTTTAACGAAGCCAATTTTAAATCATGTTTTAAAGCATGTTGTGCTGATTTTTTCAGCACAAAGACACTCAGGCAGGCTTTTTAGGTGCTGAGCAAGCCTCCCGATGCCTGTTCAGAGCCAGCCGATCAGCTGATACGAGCGGGGAAGAACACAAAATGGCTGCCAGGCTCCTTCTGGGTGTGGGCTTTTAGCTATTTCCTGCTCTTTTTCCTACAGTTTGGGGGCTACCAAGGCCTGGTAAGTGACTTTCTTTTACAGTACAGTATTTAAGTTTCTGACCCTATTTTCCCCTCCAGAAGCCTCTAAGGGGAGGGAGGGGGCACTTTTTTCCTGTTCGTAACTCGAGGGAAGTTCGTATGTCGAGTTGTTATTTCCCTATAGGGCAGGTTCGTAAGTTGAATTGTTCACAAGTAGGGCCGTTCGTAAGTCGAGACCCCACTGTACTGTATCCAGCAAATTTCAAATGTGATGGGCAAGGCACTATTTGGACTGGGAAGTCTTGCACTTTTCAGGTCCTCTTTGACACACACGAGATTGTAACGAACACCTCAAGGGAGATCTATGTATTGTATCCAGTATGTTTTATAAAATCTTATTCAATGTGACTAGGATAATTTCATGTACTTTACCTGAAACGTTCAATGTCCTCATCGGAGACCAGATTTTTAATGACAAGATAACCATTCTCCTCATAGAAATGCCTCTGCTCTGGGCTTAGAAGATTATTATCCAATGTGTAACTGTGGAAATACCAAATCATCATCATTACAATCACAAGAAATACTGAGAGAAGACAAAGCAACTTTAAATATTTCTGTGGTGCCTGAAAGCACAGATTGCTGTGACAGAAAATATGGCACATAGACATCTGAATTAGAAAGGCATGTTTGCTTTTTCCAGGAAAAGTATATGGAGATTTTACCCAGTAGTGATGCTTGAACCTGGTAAGGAATTAATTGCTTTTGGCAGCAATCTTCAAACGATGTTGCAAGAAACTCCAGAGCTGCTGACTCAACTCATAGACAACAACTGATACACTACCGCTGATGTCTCCATGTAACAGAACATTTTGCCATTATCAGCAACTAAATCGTGTTGCCTGCAAACTACTGTGTAACTAACTACATATACTGTACCTGGGAATGTCCGGCACCACAAGCAAGCACTGTGGAGAACACGAGGTATTTGCCAAGGTTGTGACAGAAAATGTGGTACATAAACATCTGAATTAGAGGCCTATCGATACAAAACAATTTACAGTTCAGTTCTTAATACATTTACAAAGTAATTGTAAATCATCCTCATCATCTTAGAACTGCAGAGTTGGAAGGGACAAACCATTCAATGTAACAGGGTTTTTTCTAATAGGATTGCTCTGTGAAATGCACCCTATTTTTACTACAAACACACAGATGGTGAAGGGGAACCACTGGTGACAGAAGGAGCTGAAGAACAAAAACTGAGAAAGTTTCTGTTTTGAAAAGGCTGGAAAAGTGGCCAATGGTTTTATTTCTTCTTACAGTCTGGTATTTGGTAACCATTTCCTCCAACTGCTACACTCAAGAGAGAAAGGATAATATTGCAGAATAGCAAAATTGATCAGTCACGAGTCCCATACTGTACTAGTTAATGGCTGGGAATCACCCTGTATAATTTATAATTTGCTTGACACCAGAGAACTTTTACACTGGCCCATTACAATGCTCTGCCTACAGTCTTTTTAGAGGGAGTCTTTGCCCTTGCCCATCTGGTAGGGTGGAAACTAGGGAACGTGTCCTATTGTACTGGATATCTTATAAAGATTCATGTAATGTACTTACTTCCTCACTTTTGAAACATTATACAGGTAGACCCAGTATATTTTACATCTCTTTTCTCTTCCCTGATTCCTCAAATGAAATTACAGCTAAGGTTGCAAAATTCTGTGCAGTGGGCTTGTACAATAAGGAAACAGATTATTAAATCACTGCAGTAATTGAAGAACTCATACCAAATGATAATCTGAACTTCAGTTTGTTTTCTATCAATTCTAAATATTTTATGACACATTATTGTATTTTAGTCTTGTATATCTAACATGGATGACCTGTGGTTGTAATAATAATAAAGTAATAAAGCAAGTAAAATTGACCAGGTTCATTTGAGTCAGCAATTTAACAGCTAATTGACCTGAAATTATTAAAAGTTCACTGAACTGAACTTGAACTCATGTTTTGTATGCATATATGCATGTGCATGTGATATGTACATATAGTTTTCTACCTGTGTGTGGGGTGTGTGGGGGTGTGCGCATTTCATTGTTGCCACGTGGAATGTAGGAACAACTCACCTACATTTTCATGCAAGAAAACAGGTTAAAACACTACCTACCGGAAGTGTACTGGATATTTTGCAGTAGCAACTTGGGATGAAGTAGGAAAATGTGTCTACAGAATAAATTAAGGAAAGGTATATCTGGAGAGAAGGAAACTTGTAACAGATATAGGATCAAAAGAAGTCTAAACTAGCTTATAAAATTTATATTACTCCCCAGTATTAGAGATAATAGGATTCTTCAGTCTAGCTTTTCAGTTCAAATGAAGATCATAATCCTACCTCAGAATTATATATTTTCATCCTGCCAAAGACCTCAGGGTGGTCTACATTTCTGGTAGTCCTTCTACTAAGATCCTGTGGGAACTTCAGCCACTTTTTTGTGAAGTTATATCCCAATAGAACAAAAGATCTTGCTCATCTTAAACCCTCCCAGTACACTGTAATAAAAGGTAATAGCAATATCAGTAGTAATAGTATAGCCCCAGCACTAATGTGTCTGTTCTTTTTCTATTTTAAAAATGTCAAGGTTAAGAATGTTCCTGCTGAACCTTGCATCAAGAAGGCAAGCATTTCTTATAACCAAAGAGCTCTCTACAGTTGATGCAAAGCAGCAGTTTAATCCAAACCTGTTCCCAAGATCTCTCATGTGACCTCCTATGCTATTCCAAAGGGCTCACAAGCGCTCTGGAGCAGACAGAGGACTGGAGAAGGCATTCAGAGTGCTGCAAAAAGGGAGAATGGTCAAAACGATCAATTTGGCTGATGGAAATGAAAAACAATTTTTAATACTTACACTGACAAAACAATAATCAATTTCCAGCATTTCCATTCCTTTTTGTCCCCCTTCATCATATAATCACATGGGTGAATATCTGCTACTCAGGTAACACTCCATTCATTGGAAGAAGTTGTCAACAGTCCCCCAAAACCTACACTTTTAAAAATGGGTATTCTTTAAGGTGCCACAACAAAAACCAGAAACTCACTACATCTTGCCCACTGGTGAACGGACAGCAGGAAGAGAAGCCAGTGTGTACTGTCATGGAAGGGTGTTCATAATCTGGAGGGAACCCATGAAAAGGCCCTTTCCCATGCCAAATGTGCCTATGAGGACAGCCACTGGCTGCCAGTCTATTTCCAGGCAAAATTCAAAGCACTGGTCATGATCTAACAAGCACTATAGTATAGCCTGGCTCCAGATCATATGAAAGACTGTTGTCTTTTGGCAACTGAACAGACTCCTGACAAAAGAGTTTTAATTAGGATGCTGTATGTTTTACTGTTTCCTTGTGTGTTTTTAATATATTTTAAATTAATGCTCTTTTAATATTATAGTTTGTTTAGTTGCTTTAATTTTACAACTTTTTGTGGTTTTAGGCTTTTTTTTAAAAAAAACGATTCTTTAAACTGCTCTGCATGCCTGCACTGGGAGAAAGGCAGGAGAGAAATGAAACAACATAAAATAATATATAAATAACTGCATCGTGGTTTAAGTTGGAGCCCTGGCAAGCCTCACAGATCTGAAATTCATGCAATTACTGTGGCAGTCTTATAACTTAATGGGCCAAAACAGCCTTTCCATCACAGTGGGGTGGGCAAACTGTTAGCACGAAGACCTGCTTTTGCAGCCTTTACCATCACCCGTCCCCTTCTTTTGATGTAAAGAATGTGCATTTCAGCTCCTGGAAGCCTTTTGAATGGGTCACATTCCTCACTCACCCCAACACTGCAAAGTAATCATTTTCCCAAACTGGAAATATATTTCTAGGCACTTGAAGTTTAATTTTTGCCCTAATACATTTTAATTTTTTTATCTCTGTGGTTCCCAGAAGGTTCAAGATCAGAAAGCTGGTCTCTAGTCAGCAAAGCTGCCCTTCCCTGCCTTATACAATACTTCAGCATTCCCCAACCTTTTTAGCCCCGTGGACTGGCTGAGGAAGGTGGGGCATCCCTTGCACTTGTGCACATGCGCAAAGGAGCGGGGGCGCTTGTGCAGGGGGTGCACACTCCTGTGCATGCGCAAAGGGTGGCATAGTGTTCATGAGCGCATGAGGGCACTCGTGCGCATGTGCAAAGGGCAGCGCTCAGGGGGCATTCGTGAGTATGCATGAAGGGGTGGGGGAGCGCTCATGTGGGCGCAGGTGTGTGTGCACAGACACAAGCAGGCTGTGCGGGGGGAGTGTGTACGGGGTGGGGGGAGGTCTGTCTCCGCAGCCCGGTCCGGCTCAGGCCACAGACTGGCACTGGGCCACAGACCGGGGGTTGGGGACCTCTGCCATACTTTATAAGCTTGAAACTGTTGCTCACTAGTCTGAAAGAATTGCAAGGCAGATAAACAACAGCAGGCAATAGCCTCATTAGACTCTCCAACAGACAAACGTGTTGCAAGTTTGGGAACTAAGTTTCAGTTTATTCCTCAAAACAATGCGGGGGGGAGGATCTAAGAAAAATTTTTGCACACACAACTTTTGTGTACATACAAACAAAACACAGGAGAAAGGGAGCAGTCAGTATTTGTATTCAAACTGCAATACATTTTAGGGAGCCATTAAAAATGCTTGATTCTTGCCCATTGTAAAGTGCTGGTATATCTAGAAGTGTAGAGAGCCAACAAAATCAAATGATAAACATAAAGTCATCATGTGCCTCTTATATAACAGTAACAGGTACAGTACAAAGTTCTGAAGTATTATGCAGACAGAAAAATAAACAGAAAACCATTGCTACACTGGTTTTAAAATGCCACAGGGAAAAACACCAACTATTTTCCTGTGAAACAATGCAGGGAAATTGATCTGCGAGATAGTGGCACCAACAGCACACTTGGCCTGGGAAAGTGTTTCAAATTCCCATCTCAGTCATGTCAGTGGCCACATGCAAATCACTGTTTCTTAAAGCTGTCCTCTCCCAGTCCTACAAAGGAAGGTGGAAATTTATACCAACAGGATTGTTCAGCCAGTATGTTATGCTTTGCAAAAGCTTTATAAACAAAACTGCAAACTGACCAGCTACAGGGATTTGAAAGATGGGCATACTATTACCACCAACCAATTGTTCAGTTTGTGCTAGGCAAGTAGAACATTCCTCACAAAACTCTGTAGGTCCTTTTTAGCTAAAAACACTGCCATAGTAGTTTATTAAAAGGGTAAGAATATGAGAAGAGACATGCTGGATGACCCGAAAGATATACCTAATCTAGCAAGGTATTTCCCACCTGACTGACCATATATACTAATGGGAATTGTATAAGCAGGCCATGAGGACAAGTACAGCTCCCACTTCTGCTCTATGTTGTTGTTGTTTAGTCGTGTCCGACTCTTCATGACCCCATGGACCAGAGCACACCAGGCCCTCCTGTCTGCTCTATAGGAACTGGTATTAAGAGCCACACTGTGACTGATACGGGAGCTAATATGTAGCCATTGATAGGTTTAATCTCCATGTGTTTATATAATCCCCCTTTAACGATAACAAATTAAGAGCTATTCATAGTTTAGCTAATTTTAGTTGAGCTAAAGCACTGCATAACTGTGTGAAGATGCTGAGTTCCATACTGGGTACCTTTAATGAGCACATAAAAGAGCAAATCTATGCAGATTTAATCCCTCTTACCCCTGCAACACAAGAATGCTGGAAAAATGCACCTGCCCCATCTTTCACTTCTATTTTTATTTTTATTTCTGTACTGTTTTTATTACTATGGTTTGTTGTATTTTTTTCGCATTGGACATTATCATGCCCTAAGGAGCATCGAGTGGCTGGAACCCAAGCCCTATGAGGATACACTGAAAGAATTGGGCATGTTGAGCTTTGAGAAAAGAAGACAGAGGAGTGATATGATAACTATTTTGAAATACTTGAAAGGCTGTCATACAGAGGAGGGGCAGGATCTGTTCTCAATCATCCCAGAATTCAGGAAACACAACAATGGGCTCAAGTTACAGGAAGCAGTACAACAGTGGAACCAATTACCTTGGGAGGTGGTGAGTGCTCCAACACTGGAGGCATTCAAAATAAACGTAAGACAATAGCTGGCAGATATCCTTTGATTTGTATTTCTGCATCCAGCAGGGGTAAGACTTGATGGCCTTATACCCTTCCAACTTCACTATTCTATGATTTATAAACACAGTTATTAACGGGGGTAGCAGCCCCTCTGCTGCTGCATCCACTCTACGACCCTAATCTCAGAGGAATCATTACCAACCTTTTTTCTACTGGACTCTGAGCAGCCTGATAAGTAGAAATTAAAAACCTTTGTCCTAAGACAGCAATGAACCTGGCAGTTCTCAGCCAGGAGTGATTCCTTCCCGTTTGAACCCCACATTTTGCTGCCTCGGCACAAGACACAAAGAAGAAGCCGTCGCCCCTCTCCTTAGAGCTGGCTTGTCTGAAAAGCTGCCTATAAAGAGAGCCACCAACTTTCTGAACAAGCAAAACTTGCTGTTCCACTTCCAGCTGTCGCTTGCTCTGCGAAGACAAGCATTTGTTCCCTGCCGACTTCTGGGTCAGCAACCTCCACACACGCCGGTTTCCCTTCTCTTTCTGAAGACTTGGCAACTGTTCAATTACACAGAAGCCCAACAGATCCTGCCTTCCCGGTCAGCTAGCAACCACTACAGCTGGCAACCACTAAAGAAGTACTCGGGACGCAGGAGGGAAGCGAAGAGACCGCGGTCGCCCTGCCCGAAACACCAGGCAGAGCCAAAACAGGATTTCCCGGCTTACCACCCCCGCCGTCGCTCTCCGCACCCCGGACCACAGAAAGGATACAAGGGCGGCGACACCGGCCAGGCCCGCGGGTCGAGAGGAGACGAGGTGCCGAAGGACCGTCCTCAGCCGGAGAGAAGCCCTGGCCGCCGGCGCCTCCGTCCCTCTTCCCTCCATGACGCCTTCGGGAGTCAGCCCCCAAGCCCTCCGCAAAGCCAAGAGGAAGGGGCGGCCACGGCCTCAGGGCCAGCTTCGGCTCCTGATTGGCTCCTTTCTGTGACGAACCCATCCCGGCTCCTCCCTCTAATGGGCGGAAGGCAGAGGGGTTTCCCTCAACACCCCCCCACAGAGGGCGGGGTCAAATGTCAGACATCTCAGGATAGGATGGGGGGGCGTGTCGTCTGGCGATGAGGAAACCGACGAGATTGGCACGGGAAGGTGACCGGAGACCAACAACGAGCACGAAAAGCACGTTCACGAAGCCGCAAGATGATAGAAAAGGTGGAAACACACCGTGGTTCACAAATATGTACAGTACTCTGCACATATTTAAATATGTATTAAAAACAAATTTAAACCCTGTATGGTTTCTGTAAGTAATCCCACATGCAAGAGTTCCCAAGGAGCTAGACATGTGTAAATCTGTTGCAGCCAAACGACGAAAAGTCTTGTGGCATCTTAAAAGACCCAGTGTTAGCTGCCGTGAGCGTTCATGCCTGGTAGCCTGCATCTGAAGAACGGGCTAGAGTCCACGAAGGCTTAAGCCAAGTGAAACTGAACTGGATTCAAAATGATACAAAACTTTTTATTGTTTCCCTACATATTGAGAGCCTCCGTAATATTTTTTTAAATGAATAAAATTTTTAAATAGCAACTTCAGAATCATAAAGCGGAAGTAAAACTAAAATCGTTGCTATGCTATGTTCATAATTATGCTCATCTTGCACAATACAGTATTCCCAATAAACTGGATAAAGTTCTATGTGTATTGATTTATTTCCCACAAATATGTTTTCCACTCAAATGCTGATGATAGCCATGCACATTTACTTTTGCTCTGGAATAAGAACAAAGTTTACAATTGTATAAAACAACAATAACTGGGAATTCATAATCTCCCAGTTTTTGCTACCCACCTGCAAGATGGGAGTAACTGTGGCTGACATCAAAGAATTATTGCAAGTTATTACAGATAATACATACAATCATTTTGAAAACATAATGTGCATTAGCATTCTAAAGGTGTCATTGGTGATGGTTAAAGGCTGCCTTCATGTACACTTTCCAACAGAATCTAGATACCAGTTCAGTGGCTGCACATCCTCGTCTAATCAGATGGCAGAGGTAATTAGTATCAGCTTCGTCGTCATTTAGTCTCTTGGTGAACCCATGGACCAGAGCATGTCAGGCCCTCCTATCCTCCACTGCCTCCCGGAGTTGGGTCAAATTTATGTTGGTTGCTTCAATGACACTGTCCAGCCATCTCATCCTCTGTCGTCTACAGGAAAAACCATAGCTTTGACTACGCGGACATTTGTTGGCAAGGTGATGTCTCTGCTTTTTAAGATGCTGTCGAGGTTTGTCATTGCTTTCCTCCCAAGAAGCAGGTGTCTTTTAATTTTGTGGCTGCTGTCACCATCTGCAGTGATCATGGAGCCCAA